AGAGCTGGAGATCCTTTGTTGCTGTCCTAAACGCCAGAGGGCGTAATGGGTAGTAAGTAAGTAAGTAAGTATGCAACCGTGATCATTAAAAGACCAGCTTAGATGACGACTCGCATCAAATAAATTGGGGATAATGGGGTTGGGGAAACAGGGGGGGAGGGAGGGGCTGGGGTAGGGAAGGTGGGTAGGGGTTAGGAAAAGGATGAGGGAAGGTAGAGGGATTGGGTGTCTGACGAAACGTTTTATTGACGGCGCAACCTTGTTCTTTACAAGACCAGGTGAGAGAGAGACTTACGTCAAAAAAATTGGGGGATGGCGGTTGGGAAAAAGAAGGGGGAGGGGTGGGGGGATGGGGTTGGTTGGAAAGACAAATGCTATCTTCTGAGCAAAGGATGAAAGCTTTCCTGTTTTGCACCTTGTCTGAAATTTTGGTCAATTGTCCACACGGATGTTGATTACCTTATGATTATGAAAGATTTCGCTTAACGATGATGAGTTTGATGCAATACCGCCTCCTGTCTTTATGTGCAGTAGTTTAGCTTAGTGCATGTCAGCTTGTAACAGCCTTATATATTCTGTCAGTGTAAATCAACATACTTTACTTCTCTTTTTTTCTTGTTCATGGGTGATTGGTGGATGCTTTGGTGTGATTTGCTTCTTCTTTCCTTCCTATCAAACAACTGTCTTCCTGTCTTCCTCTATCTCTCCTCCTTCTTTTCTTTGTATGTTACTCTCTTGTAAGACCTTTAATCTTCAGGATTTATATGTTCTAATTGTGTTGCAAGTGCTGTAAAACTCTTAACAAAACAAGCTGAGGTTCTGCTTCTTCCTGTGCTTCTCAGTTTGTTCGTCAGTTTGTTCGTCAGTTTGTTTGCCAGTTTGTTCGTCAGTTTGTTCGTCAGTGTGTTTGTGAGTTCGTTCAGAACAGTTTGTGTTTGCAACCTGCCCCTGTGGTTAGTTCTTTCCCTACCACTGGCTGGCACGACCCTTGTTTTATGGCCGTGTACGGCTTTTAACGGCTCCGCAAAGTCATTATCTCCTCCATTCCGGAGTCGTGTGACTCGCACCAACCACTGTTTTATGCTCGGAATACTTTTTCCTTAAAATGTCTGATTGGAAGTTTTTTTTCCCTGCATTTTGGTCAAATGCATTTTTTTCTCTTAAAAAAGAATTAAGAAATTTTATTCCTTTTTCTGATTACACCAGGGTCTGTGGTGTATGTGTGTGTGTGTGTGTGTGTGTGTCTGTGTGTGTGTGTGTGTGTGTGTGTGTGTGAGAGAGAGAGAGAGAGAGTGCCTCTGTTGCTATCATTTTACTTTGTCACTGTGTTTACCTCTGCATGTACAAACTGCTCCATGTGCATCATCATGTAGTTTTTTATTTCTACCAGATTTTCTTACCTTGTCGACAGAACCTAGCCTTACCTAGTCTTGTGGTCTCCAGCTTATAGCACACGCCTTGGGGGACAAAAAGAGCACGCTCTTATATATGATATAATTATGTGAATATATTATGCCATCATTAAGTGAATTACAAAGGGGAGAAATTTAGAGTAAGTGTACAAAACGTAAGACGTGGGCTGCATTATTGCGCTGAGCTTACCGCAAGGTGGGAAGCTTTCCTACCCCAAAATGAATCAAGCAATGACCGTCGTAGTTACCGCACAGCCCTCTCACACTGTCCGTCCGCCACTCATGCCCGGTTACTGGCTTTCCTCACTACACAAATCTGTCTCACACTTTGTCCCTCCTATACATACAGTACAACCAGAATAGTTCGAACACAGAAGACTCAAAATCATGCATCCATCGAACTGTGCCTGCGGTCCCATTTTTTTTCTTCTTTATTCTTTGTAAGATATCCCTCGAACTACGGATCCCTTGAACTACTGAGGCTGGTCCGACAAATTCAAGTTATCTGTGTTATACTGTACATCTTTTTCTCCCCGAAATTTCAAGTATAATAAAAAGGGTACATGTGGTATTTACATTGTTTCCATCAGCTCCAAGCGAAATGAGTCATTTTATGGCGTACTTGTTTTTGACATCAATGAAGGAACGATCATGCTGTTTAACGGAGCTGTCAATTTGGAAAGTGCGCCCATACAAGTCCAAGTGATACATGTAGTTATATGGGAGAAAACATGGCTCCTGTGCTGCCAGCGTGCTATAAGACGGATCGTGCGTTTATCAGTTGTGCTATCAGCCGGGGACCGCTGAAGTAGTATTTTCTCTGTGCCCCAGTAACATTACATTTACATACTCTCACCAATTTGTAAAAATGTTTTTAATGTTGTTGCATTCTGTCTGAGTGATTTGTTAGGCATCGTGGTGAAATCAGGCGCTCCTCAAAATAATGAAATCGAAGAAACTGGCATTTTTCTGTTAGTTTGGACATTTTTTTCGAATTTTTTTTTTTTTCACTCAGCACTTTTAAAATCCATTTAAAATCACATTTCTGTGTGGATTTTACTAAGAAATGTAGATTTAAGGCACATGAATGTAAATTTGCAGTTTGTAAGGACTCTCAAGCTTTGGAGGTCACCAAACTTTGGCTGCCATTTTCTCGCTAATTTTACCTCTGAAACCAGGTGACCCCCACCTCCTCCGATCACAAATATCTCGACTTCTATTCTTGATATATGAGTATATATTTTTTTCACAGAAAGCAAGACAAATGAACGAGCTTTGAAATAATAGCAATAACTCCGCATGTCCCAAAATTGTTGAGTGCCTGATTCCACCATGTCGTGACATATTTAATTCAGACGGAAAAATGAGGACAGCTGATGTTTGCGTTTATTTTCTCTCTGCACCTAGATTGTTTTGTTTTCTTGCATGTTTTTTTTAATTGATGTTTTTTGTGTTTAATCACGTGCAATTTGAACCTTTTTTTACTGTTTTGTTTTGTCGTTGTTTTTCTTACAAATAACAAGGACTGCCAATGTGTCTGCTGTGATAATGATCCAATCAACCTTGTCGTCTCGCTTCATATAACCAGAGAGAGGGGGGAGAGAGAGAGAGAGAGAGAGAGAGAGAGAGAGAGAGAGAGAGAGAGAGAGAGAGAAAGAGAGAGAGAGAGATTGTTGCCTTTCCATATTACCAGAGAGAGAGGTAGAGAGAAAATGTCTCTTTATATTACCCGAGAGAATGAGAGAGGGAGAGAAAGTGTCTCATTATATTACCAGAGTGAGCGAGGGAGAGAGAGAGAGCTTGTTGCCTCTTCATATTACGAGAGAGAGAGAGAGAGAGAACGAGAGAGAGAGAGAGAGAACGAGAGAGAGAGAGAGAGAGAGAGTGTGTCGTCTGCTTTGGCCAGTGTTTTTGTGTTGTATTCAGCAGAACAACTGACACACACTGTGCGTGTGGCCTGAGATATTGTAATTGGTCGCTTTTCAGCACAAGGGGGCTATCCCAAAAAACTCTGTTTTGAGAAAATCGAAGGGAAAGATTTTGCCCCTTGTTCGGTTTCTTTAAAAGACAAGGAGAGTCTTCTCTATAACCAAACAAATACACACACCAATGAAACCAAACTTCTCCTATAGGTAGGGCAATGCCCACTTTTGGTGTAGGTCAAGATTTCTGGAAACCCCCGAAGTATGTGTTAGCCCGCTTGTCCTTAAAAGCGACCAATTGTAGGCTACAGCACCACCTGCTGTGTGACATTGGTACTCTGGAGGAAATAAAGCTACACATTCATTTGTGTGTGCCTCAGCCACTGGTGTTTTGGTTCGTTTGTTTTTCGTCACCTTTTAACAAATGTTCTGCCTGTCTGTGGGAGAAGTTAATGTGACATGCTGATTTGTGCAAAGTTAGATGAATTGGCATGTTATAATTATTGTGTCCCACGTAAAGGTGTGGGTGGTTGGCGGGTACTCTGGTGTAGTTTGCTCCTTCTTTTCTATCAAACATCTATCGTCGTTATCTCTCCTCCTTCTTTTCTAACAAACATCTATCGTCGTTATCTCTCCTCCTTCTTTTCTAACAAACATCTATCGTCGTTATCTCTCCTCCTTCTTTTCTAACAAACATCTTTCGTCGTTATCTCTCCTCCTTCTTTTCTAACAAACATCTTTCGTCGTTATCTCTCCTCCTTCTTTTCTAACAAACATCTATCGTCCTTATCTCTCCTCCTTCTTTCCTATCAAACATCTATCGTCCTTATCTCTCCTCCTTTTCTAACAAACATCCATCGTCGTTATCTCTCCTCCTTTTCTATCAAACATCTATCGTCGTTATCTCTCCTCCTTCTTTTCTAACAAACATCCATCGTCGTTATCTCTCCTCCTTCTTTTCTCTGTAAGTAACTCTCTAGTAACACCACACGTACGTATTGGCATGTATGCAAAGTGTCACAGACTTAGGCAAACTCCGACGTCTAGATAGCCGTTTGGGCGTCACTGTAGATTTTGTTGTTGTTGTTGTTGTTGTTAGCGATCCAGTAGCATCTGAGCGTTAACTCTTCTGCATGATGCCATTCGGTAATAGTTGCATGTTTGTTCTAAGTGTTGTCTTGGGGAGTAGAGGCAATTAGATGTGTGGGGTAGCTTGGGAAGAAAACACCCCCTTAAATCAGTTAGTTTTCTACAGAAGAACAGATGATGTTCCACTGTCTCTGAGGGGTAGTCTCATAGTGGGCAGGCAGCAGACTGCTTTACTTTACTCCAATTCGGTTGAGATGTTGGTTGAGGGGTACATGTTGTGTTCTAAGTTGGTAGATTTTACAACTTGCTTCTCTCACAGTCAGACTTAGAATACTTAGATTTAGATATATTGACACATAAGTATGTGTCAGTTACTTTGGCAAGATCAGGTGCATTGACATTATGTTGTGTCAGTGACTGAGGCAAATTCAGACACATTGACACCTAATTTGTATCGGTGACTTAGGTAAAATCAGATGAACATATTATTATGTCACTGACTTAATCTGACTAAGGTGTGCTTGGGTATCATTTTTATTGTCACAGACATAGGCATATACTTTGTGTCGTTAGAATTTAGTGTGACCTCGAGCGACCAAGTCCTCAGATATCGGCATCTGTGGTGCAGCAGTTAGGCACTTCGCTGTCGCACGCAGGAATCCCAAGTTCGATTCCCGAGAGCGAAGATAATTTTTTTCAAGTATCTCATTTTTTCAGCTGGGATGTGGTACCCCTCTCAGTCCGGGTTGGCTCTGACAGGCAGGGTTGGAAGCCTGCCTCTTAGTGATCTAAATCGTGTTGATGGGGGCGTAAAAACACATCTATATATACCCAAAAAAAGTAATTATGACATAT